CCTCATGACCAGCGACACGCACAGTCGAGTGCCAGCGACGTCACATCGTTAGCTGATGCTTTATGGTCTTTAGTTGGCCGCACAAAAAATCCGCCAATACTTGCAGCAGACATGTACGAAAGGTATAAATGGAGCATGACCTGTCGCCTGATGTTCAGCCAAATACCAGTGACGTCATATCGCCAGCTGATGCCTAACGGCATTTCGTCGGTCCTATAGGGCCCGTGGAAACCCACGGCCATTGACGTCTTACAGTCGTATAGCAGTGACGTCGCTAGCCGTTGGAACTCATGGCCAGTGATGTCACACACTCAGGTGGTTCGGCAGCTTTCATCCAGCACGCCAATGCTTGCAGCAGACAAGTACGAAGGTAAAAATGAAGCACGGCCTGTTGCACCCAGTATTTATTCGAATACCAGTGACGTCACGCTATCCGGTGATACTTCGCGGACCACGACACACCGTGGTCGCGGGGCCTAAGTGCACTCGTATGAAGTGATGATTAGGGACGTCACACATTGGGGTAATTCGGTCAAACCCCTATGCGGCACGCAAATGCTTGCAGCAGACAGGTATGAAAAGTCAAGATGGAACGAGGCCGGCCGCGCCTGATGTTCAATCGAATACCAGTGACGACACATGGCCAGCTGATGCATTACGGCATTCAGTTGACCCAAAAGAGCCTTACACACTCACGACCAGTGACGTCACATACCCAGCCGAATACCAGTGACATCATATCACAAGCAAAAGCCTTATGGCCTTCAGTCGGCCCGAAAGAACCCCGACCCCGATCGATGCAAAACCATTTTCAGTGACGTCACAATGTTAGCTGATGCCTCACAGCTTTTGCCCCGCACGACAATACTCGAAACCCTGCAGCTAGCGTAGCTCTTCCCTCCGTCGGCCATACAGGTACCCAAGTAAAAAATTACCAATACGGTAATTTTTATTTTATTATTTTTTTAATTATTTTATTATTTTATTAATTACTTCTCTTGGCTGTTGTGTGGAAATTTTTCCGTCTAGGTAAACATAGTCCAGCTTGAACATCGCAACTTTGCCTCTATGTTATGAGTTCAGTTGGTTACATTCCTCGAGAGCCGGATCTAAATAGTTCCTGCATTTCTGCACATATTTTCATTTGCAAGGAAGAATGGTGATGTCTGTTAACAAAGTATTTATTATGGGTCTTTCAGGATACAGAACACTGCAATGTTTGTGGATGTATGGTTAAGCAGACACCACATTTGTAAGCTTCCTTATCAGAAAGGGCTCGGAAAATTTGTGTGCGCAGGGATGTAGTGTCATTTTGCCTGTCTGCCAGTTTGTGTTAAACAATTTCAAGGTACCATTTCCAATACCAATACATTTTTGTTACACTGCACACAGACTATGAACCAGAAGGTGCTCTTACATTTATCTGTATGTTTATCTGCACAGCAACTATTAGCCAGTAGGTGCTTTTACATTGATATGTATGTTTAACTGTGCACAAGGGATTGATCAGTAGGTACTCATAATTTATCTCTTTGTTCAGCTGTTTATAGTTTTTCAGATCTTCAATTTTGGTATTTATTTTTATCTATGATGCATGGCCAGGGCCATTTTGTACTGTATTGTATTGGTTAAAATGAGAGTAAGGATAGATTAAACCTAACTAAACAGTAAAGCAGTTTCAGAACATTGTATCCATAGATGAGTTGCAAGTGAAAGCTATCAAATTTGTAAGGAAATAAAAAATTTGTACTTCAACCTGATGTGATATGAGCTATAAGTCATCACTTGAAATCCTTTGTCCAAGGTTCCTTCTTTCATTCATTTCATCATTCATTCATCACATTCCTTCATTTATTCATCACATCAGGAGCATTCCTTAACTTGCATTCTAGCATTCCAAAAGTCAACTCAAATATCAACTTGTATACAAACTGTACTTATGCCACAGAGCATCAGTGTCCCAATATTTGGCCACATGATGGTAGGGATGTATATATTTTTGTGGTATACACCCTGGCTTGGGACTCACTGCCTGCTGTCCCTTCCTCGCTCAAGATCAGCCAATCAGCATCAACCTGATGGCTGTTGTCCCAGTATATAAGTGCCTCAGGCTTGACAAACAGGCTGGGCAGGTCAGATGTTTGGGTTCAGTACAGGGGCCACCAGAGAGCCAGGATTCTTGAAGCATGAAGTGATATTTGCATCCTAGTGCACACCCTACTGGATACATTTTGGAATGCTGGTTAGAGCATGAACTAGACATATGGCTTTTGATTATCTTACAACAAAATGTTGTGAAAATAATTACTACCAATGTATTTTACAACCAAAACAGTGTCATACTCACCATGCATTGTCTTATTACATGTTGCATTATGTTCAGGTTTAGCTGCAAATCATGATGAAAGATTAAGGTGTTGTCTGATGTTTAAGACTACTTGTGGCCAAAAAGGTTACCCTTTGATATGCTGTATTGGCCAATTTGCATTGCGATATGTTACTGCACTGATGTAATACAGGGTCATTGACTCATGGCAATAACATGCCTGACATGCTGTCATTTCAGAAATGCAGAGTGAACCATCCTATCTGCACTAGTGCCCTCCATCAGATCACACGGCTGCCACTATGTATAGCGACTGGGTGTCGCTCAGTATCGCCGTGCATGACCGCGAGTCAGAGACACGGAGCGTGCTGAGCCGCCTGCCGCCGGCTGCCGGCCAGACTGTGGTGGCAGCTGTGGTGCGTGGCCTGGCAGGCACGCTTGGCATCACGGCCGCGCCCCAGCCCAGCCCGCTGGCTGCAGCCAATGAGGTCGACTGGTGCATGGAGGTGAGCTGGGCTCGACGGTGTCACCGCCATTGTTCTGCACAGGTTTTATTCCATTTTGTGTTTGTGTATTCTGTTGAGCTTTTCAGTTACACTAGCTAGCATGAGTGGAAGACATGCCAGGCAGCCAAGTACAGTGAAGTGCTTCGCTGAGTGCTGCCGCCCATCAATATTCGGACCCACTGCGTCCATAACGCGACGATGTCTTGCCGCCGCCGGCACCGTCTGCCCAGCCCATTGAGCCCTGCTCGGACCCATCGCTGCCTCACGCCACTGGCGCATCCGCGTTGTGACGCTGTGACGGTCTGGCGTGGTGTGACGAGGCGTCTGGCACCCCTCCGTCCAGGTGATATGCTACGGCCTGAGCCTGCCTCTGTCGGAACACGACACCATCCGAGACTGCGTCAACGTGTACTGCGAGTGGCTGACAGCGCTCCTGCCCACGTCCAAGCTGTGTGTGCCCGAGGCGGTGCGCGAGCGGCCCAACCTCTACTCGCGCCGCATGCTCAACCACCTGCAGAACCTGTTCGTGCCACGCAGCGACCAGTGTGAGCGTGAGAGGGACTTCAATCGGGGAAGGGACGCCGAGAGTTGCGCTCAAGTCTGAGTAGTGGTGCTAGGGGTGTGAGTCCGCACCGTGCAGTGTTGGCAAATGTCAAGTTTTAAGGTCTAACGTGGGATTGCGAAAGGGGACAGGTGCAAGAGACACAACATGCACTTTTTGATGGGTGTGATGGGGTCCGCATCCTGCTTTGGGGAAGTTTTCAGCGGGGCATGAGTGGCTTGAACAAACAGTCCATGTATAGTTCCGGTCGTGAAGAATCTACGAAACTATTTAAAGTATGACTGTATAATTTTTTCAGCATATACATATGTCCTCCATAAGGCAAAGCGCATTCAGTGTGGTGCTAGCTATCTGTAGCTAGCTGTCTGTAGTGTGGTGCTAGCTACCACGCTGCTGTTCATTTGTCTGCGCCTGCGCCAAGACCTGCCACGCCCCCCCCCCCTCGCCCGTGCCTGGTGTCTAACCGGCGTCGCCGCCCGGCAGCGGTCGACACCATCAACCGGCAGGCGGTGCTCTGTCACCGGGTGCTGCGCACTGTGCAGACGCTGACGCACGAGTCGGAGCGGCTCGAGCCGGACACCTGGTCCACTCTGCTGCTGTTCCTGCTCACCGTCAACGACTCGCTGCTCGCGCCGCCCACCGTCAAGGGTAGGCGTCAGGGTCGTCCTACGGTGCCCGGCGCTGTTCAGTGCGCCTCGCGGACCTGGCGCACTCCTGTACCGCGTATTGCGCCAGGTCGGCAATGTCTAGGTGGCAGTGACCGTCACTATCGACTGCGCGTCGGCCACACGGGACGAGCTGACTAAGTTATCTGACCTTCGCATGCGTCTCGCAAAGACATCCTGCTGATGCAAAAACGCACAAAGCATCCCAATATCGTCATACGTGTTTTATGCTATCGCACTGCAGCGTTTGGAGACGCATATGCGTTTGGAGACGCGTTTGGAGACGCATGTTCTGGCCTACTTTCAGACGACATCGGCGACCAGATGTACGAGCGGGTTCTGGGTGTGCTGTTCGAGGTGTGGATCCAGGCATGCTGCAAGTGCTTCCCACCGCCGCCGCTCTGGAAAACGTTCAGGTGCGGGCGGGACGGCGGTCCACCATGTGTCGCTGGCTGAAGGGCGGGACGGCGGCCCACCATGTGCTGCTGGCTGAAGGGCGGGACGACGTCGGCCCACCATGTGCTGCTGGTTGAAGGGCGGGACGGCGGTCCACCACGTATCGCTGGCTGAAGGGCGGGACGGCTGTCCACCACGTATCGCTGGCTGAAGGGCGGGATGGAGGTCCACCACGTATCGCTGGCTGAAGGGCGGGATGGAGGTCCACAATGCGTCGCTGGCTGAAGGGCGGGACGGAGGTCCACCATGTGTCGCTGGCTGAAGGGTGGGACGGCGGTCCACCACGTATCGCTGGCTGAAGGGCGGGACGGCGGTCCACCACGTATCGCTGGCTGAAGGGCGGGACGGCGGCCCACCATGTGTGGCTGGCTGAAGGACGGGACGGAGGTCCACCACGCATCGCTGGCTGAAGGTTTACGAAATAGGAGCGCTGTCCGATCAATGGATGACTTTGCGTTATACCTTCACGGGCATAACTTGTGGACGGATGCACACACCTTGGACACAACTTGGTGTCGGTGATGGAGAGTCGTGATGGTCCTGTGGTCCTGTGAGACCTTGTATTGCTAATCACCATGATGACCTTTGATGACCTCTCAGGGTGAGCCTATAATGATGAGGCCTGTCCAACTCGGGAAACCGCTGAGCTTATGACGCAGCCTATGGTGCCCTGGCATTGCCGCGCAGACCTGGGGTGACCTTAGGTGACCTGTGACGTGCCCAGGGAGAGCTGCTTGCACTAGCTCTTTCGTCCTGGCCAGCTGGACCAGTGGGGTTGCGTGATGACCTCTGGTGACCTGAAGTTACTGCACTGACCTGGTGTGACCTTAGGTGACCTGTGACCCCTCTAGGGAGAGCTGCCTGCACCGGCGCCACCGTCCGGGCCTGGTGGACCAGTGGAGCTGCGTGATGACCTGTGACGCCCTCAGGGAGAGCTGCCTGCACTGGCGCCACCGTCCCGGCCTGGTGGACCAGTGGAGCTGCGTGATGACGGCGCTGACTGCCCGCCTGTTGGAGTCGATGTACGGCCCGGGCTTCCCGACGCTGGCCGTCCCGGAGGAGGATGCGGTGCCGGCGGCCATGTCGGCAGAGGCCGTGGCGCAGACCTGGTATCGCATACTGCATACGATTGGTAGGTAGCGGCTGGCGGCGCCGACGACGTCTGGACTGATGGTGCATGCTCATTGATGAAGCTTGTTAGTTCACAATCATTATCTAATTGGCATTGTACCATCTGATTGTGCGGCACAGCTATTGTCGTAGTTGTGAGTTTGTTCAGCACAGTGGTTGCCGTGCTTGTTGATCGGTTCAGCGTCGTTGCCCCTCGGATTATATGTTATGAACAGTTTTGTGAATCCTTGTATACCAGCAGCATGATCACCGCCTTTGGAGACAAGCAGCTGTTAGAGCGAAGATCGGGAAACGAAGCGTGGCCATTTCCGCCGGAGCCTTATGTGCTTCTGGTGTATGTTTCGTCTCGTTGTCCTTTTCAATGCTGGTTCCAGTCAGCTGAGTTTGCCGCCCTGTAAGCGAACGGGTCACTTGATATCCCTCCACGCAGTCATGAAGCCGCCATTTTTTGCTCTTTATAATGACAGATGCGTTAACGGCCATCTCTACGTGTGGACGTCCCATCATGCCAAGTGCAAATGCAAATCTGACCTTTTATGCTATTTGGATCAGGTGTGCACGAGCTTTGTTCGTGCCCCACCGCCGTAAGGTGAGTTGGTCTCCGCGTTTCTGTTGTAACTTAATTCTGACGCTGCCACCTCATCCCACGTGGGTAAGAACATCACGCATCACTCTCAGTCGGCTGACGTCGCTTCCCGGTTGCCAGGCAACCCGGTGGAGATGAGCAGCGCGGCGGCGGTGAGCAGCACACAGCAGTTCCTGCAGTACGCCATCAGCAGCGAGGCGGTGATCGAGCCGCACCAGCACCCGTGCCTGGCGCAGCTGCCGGCCATCTACCACCGGGCCGTGCGTGCCGTCGCCCTGCTCGTCAACGCCTTCCTCGGTCAGTGGCCTCAGGCGGAGGGGCGTGCTCCGCGCCGCACTGAGGGGCGTGTGTGGGTGGGGTGTCGCGCACCGAGGTGAGGCTGCGTGGCGACGGATCTCCGCTTTAGTAGGCTGGATTTTACCATAGGGTGTGTAAATTGGGCGATGAACTGGGAGACGATTGCTAGAAAAGTAGCGCGTTTAAACTATTTTGAACTATTTTTCGTTTTTTCTGCTAACTTAGATAATGTCCTCATCATGTGGACAGTATTGTGTCAGCGAGTTTGTACTGGCCTGCTGAGCAGTCTTCCTATTTTTCCGAGAGTGCGATTTGAAGTGACACATGCCAATAAATTATGTTTTGTGCATGAAAAGTTGTTGGCCGCTTATACACATGTTTTGATATTTATCGTGAAGGTTCCCGTTGGATTACATTCTTTCACAGACGTTTTCACGTTTTTGGGCACGCCGAATGCCGTTGTCGCTCCCAGAAACGCGAATAAACAACAACAAACAGCGGTCGCTTTCAGGTGCATGCTGCAGCCAGCCTGCTCTTTTGCCGTATGTGGGCCCGTGCGGCCGGGCGCGGACGAGTCTGTGTATGTCTCGTGCCTGGCTGGCGCTGCAGGTGTCACAGCGGGGACACATGGTGTGGCGTGCGGCGGCGCCTGACGACCCGGCCGCGCCGCCAGGTGTGACGGAGCCGGCGGCTGAGCCGGCCGCCCGCAAGGACAGCTCTGGTGCCGCGCCGACGGCGGCCGGCGCCGGCAGCAACGTCACGCCGCCCGTGCAGCGCCGACCCACCAAGAGCTTCAGTTCCGGCTCGGCCAACAAAGGTACGCCGATGGGCCGCTCCCCCGCCTCCGTCTGTCCGAGGGCAGTTGCAGCTATCGCGGCACTCCGGAACGGTTACGGAGCGCGCGGTTGTCTACTTCTCGCTTTCTTTTGTCCGCCCATCGTAACAGAGGTTCGTGTGCGATTAGGATGTCGAAGCTGTGGTGTGTACCCCGTATTCTCGGTTTCTTTTAGCTCAAGGAAATGTGTCTGAGTCTCCATGTTTAAAAAAACAAGTTTGTGACGGCCGATCTAGGAAATGCCGCAATAATGTTGCGGCAATTCATGGTGGTAGATGATTTCTCATAACAACCGAAACAAAACAAAAACGATAGTTTCGTGATGGATAACGGGCTCATCATTTCGGTATCGACTGGCCCGGTCCCTGTTCCCTAACTCGCATCCCTCTTGACAGCGAGCCGCAGCTCGATCATCGGTAGCCTGGGCTCGCGCAGCTCCGTGCCGCCGACTGGCGCGTCCCCGGCCTCGTCCAGCAGCTCGCCGAGCGCCGCCGAGCCGCCAGCGCCGGCCGCCGCACCGGGCGCCGGCCAGGCGCACCAGCCGGCCGCCGCCGCTGCCGCTGCTGCCGCCGCCGCCGCCGCTGCCGCTGCTGCTGCCGCTGCCGCTGCCGCCGCCGCTGCCGCGTCGCCGCTCAGTGAGTGCTGGCGCTGGCCGAGACGTGGCCGGCGGGCGTAGACGTGGACGCGGTTTGGTGTGATTTTTGCTCGAGCATGGTTGGTATCGATGTTAATGTGGGCTCGTAGGCTATCCTTTTTGTCTTATTCTGTATTGTGACATCTTGTATGACCACTGTGTACCATCTAACTATTGTTTTTACAATATCGTGGGTGGGGCAACTGATGAGAAGGCTATGATGGTATCACATAGATATACCTGGTTTGTAAGAAGATGGTTTGTGTATAATTAACACGTCGCTTTCATTGAATGCCTGCCGCATCGCACACCGTCGCTGTGGCGCGCAGCTGTTCAGTGGCGTGACTATGCCACCCTCGCTGCCAGGACTACCTGAGCAGGCATTGCAGCTGGCTCCTGGTCGACCCAAGTGCAACAGCATCCTCCACCTGTTCGGCGCCTGGCTGTTCGAGGCTGCCCTGGTCGGCACCAGCGTTCTCAGCTCGGCCAAACGCACCCAGGGTATGTCTGGGCGGGGCTCGTGCGTACCTGCGAGGGTACGCTCTCAGGATGCCGCCTGTGATTCAGCTTCGCCCGTTGTTGAGATGATAGGAAGCCCGGCATGCTCCCTGGCGCAGTGTCACGGTGTTGACAGGGTCCGTTATCATCAGCTGTGTTGTCGACGCAGCCTGGCTGCATTGGCATGCGGTTTTGCTTGGCTAAATACGAGAATAGCACTCGGCTCAGCTGTTGCTCCCATCACGAAGAGCTTCTCGGCGCTCCACTTGACTGGCGATGCCGCGCCGCTCGTGACATGACGCGCCGCTCGTGACCTCCCCCCCCCCCCCCCCGTCAGGTCAGAGCAAGCGCGCCAGCGCGGCGTACCTGGACTCGCGCAAGTCGTCGACCAGCTCGCAGACGCCGGAGCCGTCCGAGCTGCCGGCCGCCGTGACGGCCGACAAATTCGAGCGCGGCCGTGCCGAGGCGCTGGGCGCCCTGTGCCGCGTGTTCTGCGCCAAGAAGACGGCCGAGGACATCCTGCCGTCGTATCTGGCCAGCTTCTACCTGGTGCTGCACGAGGCGCTGTCCGACCGCGAGGTGAGAGGAGGCGGCCGCGTGCCGGCCCGCCAGGATCGGCGAGGGGCCGTCCTGTTGTGAAGTCGGGGGTTTCGAGTAGCCAGATAGTCGTCGTTAAGTCCAGAGCTCTGACCAGGCGTTGGGAGCATAGCAAGGGCGGGGGCCTTTGGGGTGATAATCCTCAGGGAGAGGGCTGGATGACGCCGCCTCTCCCGAGTGACGGGATACGTGCCGGACCCAGCGACCGGTACTGTCCTGCTGATGACGCCGTTGTCCTTACTGCCAGACGTCAGAGGTGAGTCAGAACCTGGCGGCGATCCTGCTGAACTCCTCCAGCCTGCTGCAACTGGACCTGGACGGCGTCAACTGTCTGCTGCCTGCACTCACCGACGCTGTGCACCACGTCATCGCCTCGCCTCGCCCCATCACGGTCAGGTGAGCCACTGACGCGGTGCACCATGTCATCGCCTCGCCCCGCCCCATCACGGTCAGATGAGCCGCTGACGCGGTGCACCATGCCATCGCTTCGCCCCGCCCCATCGCGGTCAGATGAGCCGCTGACGCGGTGCACCATGTCATCGCCTCGCCCCACCCCATCACGATCAGGTGAGCCACTGACGCGGTGCAGTATATCATCGCCTCGCCCCACCCCATCATGATCAGGTGAGCCACTGACACGGTGCACCGCATCAGGACGCCACTGCCGCCGAGAGCTTCGACGGAGCTGTTGTTGTTGAGTTGTTCACTGATCATAGTGATTTGAATAGGAATATGCATCCCTAAATATGAGGTCATCAAATCCGTTCAAGAAGCGGTAAATGTAATGCCTAGAGGTGGCCGTGTATGCTCTGGTTCCATGCAGTGTAACATCAATGGCCTTCGAAAGGTGCCGCTGGAGGCAGCAAACACGCCTTGTTTGACTGCGTTTCATGCTGGGATCGATCATGACGCGTGCGCCGCCTTGTTTGGTCACTGACGCCGTGTCTCCGGCTGCAGGGACAGCGACGTGCCGGGCTCGGCGCTGCGGCGGGCCTCTGTCCGTCTACTGGTCTCCATGCTGGCGCTGCCCCTCCACTTCCAGGTAGGCGGCCGGCCGGCCGGCCTCGGCCCGGCGCGGGACGGACCGCGGCGGAAGGGCGCGTGATCTCGTGGCCGACGGTGCCGCAGTGTGGCTGCAGGCACGGGTGTCGCGTCAAGCGCCCCCGGCCGGCCTCGGCCCGGCGCGGGACGGACCGCGGCGGAAGGGCGCGTGATCTCGTGGCCGACGGTGCCGCAGTGTGGCTGCAGGCACGGGTGTCGCGTCAAGCGCCCCCGGCCGGCCTGGGCCCGCCGTGGGACGGACCGCGGCGGAAGAGCGCGTGATCTCGTGGCCGGCAGTGCCCCACTGTGGCTGCAGGCACGGGTGTCGCGTCAGGCGTTAGCCGGGCTGCAGTCCCAGCCTTGTGGCGCAGCTATGTTTGACCACCAGTGAAGTTACGGCAAGTGGCTGATGCGGACAGGTGCTGCCCCCTGGGACGACCGTCAGTAACATGGTCGGTGGCTTACAGCATTAAGACTGGACGGCCGCCAGCGTGTAGCAGCTGTCGGCGTCCGTACGGCGAGTGTGAACACCTGTGTGCGCGCTCGCCGCCAGGGACTGACGATCCGCGAGCCGGTGAGCGGCGACCGGCCGGCCGTCAGTTTCCTGCAGCTGCGGCCGCGCCTGGTCGGCCTCCTCATCAGTGGCCTGCAGCAGGAGACGGACACAGCCAACTGTCAGATGATGCTCGGTGGGCACGCGCCACGCGCCGCCGCGGCGAGAATGTGACGCGCCGCGGCCGACATTCCCGGGCGGCAGGATGCGTTTTAGGCGGGCGCTGTCCGGCACGTCCTTCCGGCAGTGAAGTGGTGCACATCTTCATGTCACCATGGATTGCTTTGAATTACTGACTGAGCCAGGTGGCTTGTAGTCTTGTGGGTGGTTACCAGTTCGTGTAGATGTACATATTCGATGCCTTACGTCAACGGAGCAGGCTGGGAGGAGGCTGATTTGGCTCGACCCCTATGTGCTCCATGCGGAACAGACCAGGACAAGGCTGATCCGGCTCGAGCCCTGTGTGCTCCATGCGGAACAGACCAGGACGAGGCTGATCCGGCTCGATCCCTGTGTGCTCCGTGCGGAGCTGGCTGGGATGAGGCTGATCCGGCTTGATCCCTGTGTGCTCCATGCGGAGCAGGCTGGGACGAGGCTGATCCGGCTCGATCCCTGTGTGCTCCGTGCGGAGCAGGCTGGGACGAGGCTGATCCGGCTCGATCCCTGTGTGCTCCATACGGAACAGGCCAGGACGACTCTGATCCGGCTCCATTTTGCGCGCAGGCGGGCTGCTCATGTGCGTACAGGACAGCGCGCTGTACGAGGAGTCCAGCCAGATGATGCCGGACCCCATGTCACCTGGCCAGGCTGCCTCCTCAGGTGGGTCAGCGGTAGACGGTCAGGGGACTCGCCGGAAAGGTCACAGGTCAGGTGACTCGTCATCCTGGGTTGACATCTGGCGACCTGGGTGGCAGATGGCAGGTCCGCGGGGAGACCAGTGGGAGCGCTCTTGCGGGGCGTGTGGCGTGCCGTGCCGATGTGCTCTGCGGGTCACGTCTCTGCGCCAGTGTGAGTGACGTTACGGTGACGGTAGTGCGTGACCGGGGGTGCCTGTGGCGCTTTATTTGGGAAGCCGTCCCAGAAGGCGCCCCCGTTCCTGGGCGTGTTTTTGTTTTTGTTGTTTGTTTGCTGTTGCGGGCCCGGCTGGCCCGGGGAGGCCGTCGGATGTGCGCCGGGATGGCGCCACAGCGCAGGTAACGCCGCCGCCCCGAACGGCGCCCGGGGCGTGCGCCGCGCCTGACTGGGCCATGAACGGCGTGTGCGCCTGTCCTCAGCGGCGCCCGACAGCCTGAGCGCCTGCAGTGACGCCAGTTTCCCAGAGGACTCATCCGAGGAGCCGCCGGCTATTGGTAACCCCAGTCCCCGTCCGTGCCCCCTACCCCTCCGGCCGGTGGCACCGTCCCCACTCACGGCCTCCGGTACTGCACCGCCTTCGGGTGATGGTGGCGCGGGTCTCACTCCTTCCGGCCGAGCTGGGAAGTGAAGCTTTCTCTGGGTTCCGCGTGGTGGCGGCGTGAGCGGCATGCCCGAACGGGACTCGGAGAGCACGGGCTGCACCGGGCTTGTGGTGGTGTGGGGTAGGGCGCGACATTGGCTTCTGGTCTTCACCTTTCCAGCGTTCGACGTAGATTAGCTGGTGTGAAGACACGGACAGTTAGTATGAAGTAACGGTGCATTGTGATAGACAATTCATTCAATGACTTACCATAATAAATTGGCTCCCAGTTCGCCCCCAAGCGGCGAGCCGTTTTGTCGTGTTTGCACCGTAAGATGATGGTGGTGGGTATAGATGGAGGCTTTTTGGTGGATGTGCTTGTCTGGTTCAGCACGATACACTAAATGTGTGTGCACAGGTGTGCACGTTGCACTGGTGCAGGGCTGCGGGTGTGGCTTATTTACCTCGTCTGTCAGCGAGGAACCGCGTTGATTACAATCGATGGGTGCTTGAACATCCGTGGTTGCTTCGGCGTTGTATGGCTGCTTCGCTAGATCTGGCGCTGACCCGCTGTAGCGGAGCCCGCTGATTGTCGATCCAGCTCACAATCGGCTTACCAGCTCGGGTCCCAGCCCGGCTCATTAGATACTGTGATACATGAACCTGCTGCAACTGCTAACAGTTTGAGGCTAGAACACATCCAGAACAATCAAGTATAGCCACATGCATACCAGTGTCATTGAATGAGACGTGTTAAGCCACGGAGGGTGCATCCTCTCGCCCGGCGGCGTCGTATCGGTCGGCGCTTGCCCCCTGGTGGGGCGGCGCCTCTGTAGACCCGACCGGTGGCCTGTGACGGTCTGTGACGGTCCAGCCCGCCCCGCTCGCCCCCTGGTGGGGCGGTCGGCTGACCGCTGCCTGCGCGGCTGCCCGCAGACTCGGCGCGCGGCCTGTACGTGCGCGCCATCTACCTGGTCTGCCACCGACTCATGTCCTCGTGGAAGGCCGATCTCAACATATCGCTGGCGGCGCTCGAGCTGCTGGCCGGCCTGGCGCGCGTGCGACTCCAGCAGCAGGGTACGGGCCGGCGCTCGCCGAGCTGGGGCCCTTCCCAGAGCAGTGTGGGCTGTAGCGAACGGGAGCACGTGATGCTGGGAGACGGGAGCGTTCGCTCGATGGCGGTCGCCAGTTTTGTCTAGTTGTGATGCGTTGCTGTTTTACCCGGTGCAGCGTTGCCGGCACTCTGGGCAAATACCGTCCTTACAAAGCTGGCCCGAGTTTTACGGATGCTACTGGCATCAGCCCCACACGTTTGTCTAATTCAACAATGCCATCCCATGCAGCTCGGAGAAGACCCGGTGAGTTCTGATTGTGTGCGCCTCACGTGGTCATTTTAACTGTGCATCGACCAGAGACGCGCTGCGCGTTCGCTGCATGTACTGTCGTGTTGGAGTGTCGCGCACTCGTGGTTCGAGAAAAGTCGCCTGCTACCGCATGGAGCTACATCCGCCCTCGTTGGTCGCGTCATGTTTCGCTGGCGAGAGGGCGCCCGGGCGAGCGCATCCCAGCCCTGCGTTATGTTTCGCTAGCAAGATGGCGCCCGGGCGAGCGCATCCCAGCCCTGCGTTATGTTTCGCTGGCGAGAGGGCGCCCGGGCGAGCGCATCCCAGCCCTGCGTTATGTTTCGCTGGCGAGATGGCGCCCGGGCGAGCGCATCCCAGCCCTGCGTTATGTTTCGCTGGCGAGATGGCGCCCGGGCGAGCGCACCCCAGCCTCGCGTCATGTTCGCTCACCTCAGCGTCGCGTCCCGTCCCCCAGACGCGATGGAGTGCAAGCGTGCGGTGAAGTGGCTCTGCGACTACATTTGCCACCAGTGCTCGCGCCCGCCGCCGGCGCACTCCAAGGTCAGCGCAGGTCGAGCTCGCCTCGGCTCCGGACGCGCCGGTGGTCTGACCGAGTGGGCTTGCGAGAGCTCATTGCGCGGTCGTTTGGGTGTGGGTCGATTACGATGGATGAAGGTAAACCCAGTGGCTGCAGGTGCGGGGCCACGTGGGGGGTACCGGTAGTGTAGTGGTTAATGCATCTGCATAACCACTGCGCGTCTGGGAAACCGGAGGTATGGGTTTCGACTCCTCGCGGTGCTCGCCCTCCCTGCCAGGGTGAGAGGCAGGCGACGCCATATAGCCTCAGTGGCTGAGTGCGTCGTAAAGCTCAAATGACACAGGGGGGCCACGTTGTCACAATTCCGTTGGCAGTGTGCGCATCGCACCCTTCCTAGGAGCTCTAGCAGCCTCTGTTATTGGAATGGATGCGTGGCTGTGCGTGGGGATTGTTTGGCTAGATGGTCAGATGAAAGTCTCAGATGACAAACGACAGTGTCCAATGACCCTCCTAATAGTGTGCCCGCTGGCCTCGCTGGAAGGGCAGCGCTGCAAGCTTGCGCCGTGCGCGGCGCTGAGTCCGGCGTCACGAGCGCCGCGCCAGCGCCACGCCGGCACCTCCGGCGCGGCGCTGAGTCCGGCGTCACGGGCGCCGCGTCAGCGCCACGCCGGCACCTCCGGCACGGCGCTGAGTCTGACGTCACGAGCGCCGCGTCAGCGCCACGCCAGCACCTCCGGCACGGCGCCCATCAGCCCGCCCGCTAACCCGCCTCCGTGGTAGGACCTGCACTCGACGATCGTGGCCGCGTTCCGGTGCGTGTCCGTCTGGCTGCTGGAGCACCCGTACCTGCTGGATGACCGGGAGACGCTCTCCACACTGCTGGAGGTGGTCGAGCTTGGCATATCGGGCTCCAAGTCCCAGGTGAGGCCGGCCGGCGCCGCGCGATTTAGAGAGCGACAGCCGGCGCCGACGCTGGGGCGCCACTTGTCGGTCAGGTGACGCGGAGTGCTGCGACGTTCCCGGTCATTGAGGCGCTGTCTTATTGCCTGTCTCGACAGACTCCGTCCACCGCCTGTGTTGATCAGGTGCCGGCCCCGGCTCGATCCCCCGTCTTCTTATCACCTCTCCGCCTCCTTGGCAGACTTGGCCCACCGCCTGTGCTGATCAGGTGCCGGCCCCGGCTCGATCCCCCGTCTTCTTCCCACCTCTCCGCCTCCTCGGCAGACTTGGCCTACCGCGCGCCATCTGCCTATGCTGATCAGGTGCTGGCCCCGGCTCGATCCCCGTCTCCTTATCACCTCTCCGCCTCCTCGGCAGACTCCGTCCACCGCCTGTGCTGATCAGGTGCCGGCCCCGGCTCGATCCCCCGTCTTCTTATCACCTCTCCGCCTCCTCGGCAGACTCGGCCCACCGCTGATCAGGTGCCGGCCCTGGCTCGATCCCCCGTCTCCTTCTTACCACCTCGCCCCCTCAGTAGACTCGGTCCACCGCCTGTGCTGATCAGGTGCCGGCCCCGGCTCGATCCCCGTCTTCTTCTCACCGCTCCGCCCCCTCGGCAGACTCCGTTCACCGCCTGTGTTGATCAGGTGCCGGCCCCGGCTCGATCCCCCGTATTCTTCTCACCTCTCCGCCTCCTCGGCAGACCTGGCCCACCGCCTGTGCTGATCAGGTGCCGGCCCCGGCTCGATCCCCCGTCTCCTTCTCACCACCCCGCCCCCTCGGTAGACTCGGTCCACCGCCTGTGCTGATCAGGTGCCGGCCCCGGCTCGATCCCCCGTATTCTTCTCACCTCTCCGCCTCCTCGGCAGACCTGGCCCACCGCCTGTGCTGATCAGGTGCCGGCCCCGGCTCGATCCCCGTCTCCTTCTCACCTCTCCGCCCCCTGAGCAGACTCGGCCCACCGCCTGTGCTTATCGGGTGCCGGCCCCGGCTCGATCCCCGTCTCCTCACCTCTCCGCCTCCTCGGCAGACTTGGCCCACCGCCTGTGCTGATCAGATGCTGTCCCCGGCTCGATCCCCCGTCTCCTTCTCACATGTCCGCCTCCTCGGCAGACTTGGCCCACCGCCTGTGCTGATCAGATGCCGGCCCGGCTCGATCCCCGTTCACCTCTCCGCCTCCTTGGCAGACTCCGCCGGCAGTGACATTGACTTGTTACCATCATCCGGTGTAGTGGCCTGCCTTGTCCCCCGGCAGCAGCTGTTGTGATTATTTTATGCTGATACAAGCATCGCGTTCTGCATGCTGTTAAACGATGCCTCTGTCTGCCCATGCGGCCTGGAGGAGTCCCCGAACGCACCGCCTCTTGTGATGAAGCTAACTCGCTCTTTGAGGCGGCGTGTTCTGTTGTGATGGATCTGTGATGTGATCATGATGAGATGCATCTGATGATGATGATCAAGCCAACCATGCCGCTGCCTCGCCAGGCTAAGTACGGGGAGCCGCCGGTGATGAAGCAGGAGAAGCAGCTGAAACCGGCTTCCATGCGGGTGAAGGAGGCGGCTGAGGCGCTGCTCTACGTCCTCATGGAGCAGGTCAGCCTGGTGGCTGCGGGCTACAGATGCCCTCGCGGAGAGGCCCGGCGGCAGTCCCTCGGGGCAGAGGAGCGCGCGTTTCGGCAGTGACTGCAGCCCGGCGCTGCTCTCATAACAACGGAGCCGTCGTTAATCGGTGGTGCTGGCTCTGGGGCAGCGTTGATCACTGACTCATGGCCCGTCCACTAGGGCTGAAGTAGCCCCTAGAAGCCCCTGTCGTCCTGAAGTGCCTGTTATCGCCGCTGGTGGGGCTGACACTTTCATAACCCGTCACTCTTAGATCCGATTACCTTCGTCGCAGGTGGACCACTTGCCCTCCCAGAGTGGAGTGTCTCCATCGACCCGACCCTCTGGCGCGTCTGCCCTGCCCCGCTGCCTGCGCTACCTCCCACTGCTGAGCGGCGCCTCGTCTCCCGCCGTGACCTGTGCCCTCTGGCGCGTCTGCCCCGCCCCGCTGCCTGGACTGCCTCCCACTCCTGAGCGGCACATCGTCCCCGCCGTGACCTGTGCCCTCTGACGCGTCTGCCCTGCCCCGCTGCCTGGACTGCCTCCCACTCCTGAGCGGCACATCGTCCCCGCCGTGACCTGTGCCCTCTGACGCGTCTGCCCCGCCCCGCTGCCTGGACTGCCTCCCACTGCTGAGCGGCGCGTCGTCTCCCGCCGTGACCTGTGCCCTCTGACGCGTCTGCCCTGCCCCGCTGCCTGGACTACCTCCCACTGCTGAGCGGCGCGTCGTCTCCCGCCGTGACCCACACCCTCTGACGCGTCTGCCCTGCCCCGCTGCCTGGACTACCTCCCACTCCTGAGCGGTGCGTCGTCTCCCGCCGTGACCTGTGCCCTCTGGCGTGTCTGCCCTGCCCCGCTGCCTGCGCTACCTCCCACTCCTGAGCGGCGCCTCGTCTCCCGCCGTGACCTGTGCCCTCTGGCGTGTCTGCCCTGCCCCGCTGCCTGGACTACCTCCCACTGCTGAGCGGTGCGTCGCCTCCCGCCGTGACCTGTGCCCTCTGACATCTGCCCCGCCTCGCTGCCTGGACTACCTCCCACTGCTGAGCGGCGCGTCGCCTCCCGCCGTGACCTGTGCCCTCTGGCGCGTCTGCCCCGCCCCGCTGCCTGGACTACCTCCCACTGCTGAGCGGTGCGTCGTCTCCCGCCGTGACCTGTGCCCTCTGACGCGTCTGCCGCTGGCCGCTGGCAGGTGGACTATTTCCCGTCGCCGAGCGGTGTGTCGTCGCTGTCGACGCACCTGACCGAGGCGTCGCTGCTACAGCACTGTCACCCGGGTGCCGCGCCCGCCCAGCGGCGCGCAGGGCTCGCACAGTTCAAGTACTTTGTGGCCGAGAGCCTGCTCATCGCCCTGCTCGAGCAGCCGCTCGGCAACGACGAGGGTAGGCTGCAGGGGTGACCGGGGACAGGAGCGTGCCGCAGGGGTAGATAGTGACGAGGGTGGTGACGGGTGGCTGGGGACGGCGCGGGAACTGCGGTGTTGGCGGAAGTGAGGTCACCTGGGAGCGGAAATGTCTTGGCAGTATCCTTGGCCTCTGCGACAGACCCGCAGCCGACGGTGACCTGCCTGATGTCCCTGCCATGACCTGTTCGTCTCCCCGACAGGCCCGCAGCCGACGGTAATCTGTCTGATGTCCCTGCCATGACCTGACCGTCTCCCCGACAGACCCGCAGCCGACGGTGACCTGTCTGATGTCCCTGCTATGACCTGTTCGTCTCCCCGACAGACCCGCGGCCGACGGCAATCTGTCTGATGTCCCTGCCATGACCTGATCGTCTCCTCGACAGACCCGCAGCCCACGGTGACCTGTCTGATGTCCCTGCCATGACCTGACCGTCTCCCCGACAGACCCACAGCCCACGGTGACCTGCCTGATGTCCCTGCCATGACCTGACCGTCTTCCCGACAGACCCGCAGCCGACGGTGACCTGTCTGATGTCCCTGCCATGACCTGACCGTCTCCCCGACAGGCCCGCAGCCGACGGTGACCTGCCTGATGTCCCTGCCATGACCTGACCGTCTCCCCGACAGACTCGCAGCCGACGGTGACCTGCCTGATGTCCCTGCCATGACCTGACCGTCTCCCCGACAGACCCGCAGCCGACGGTGACCTGCCTGACGTCCCCGCCATGACCTGACCGTCTCCCCGACAGACCCGCAGCCGACGGTGACCTGCCTGATGTCCCTTCCATGACCTGGCTGTCTCCCCGACAGACCCGCAGCCGACGGTGACCTGCCTGATGTCCCTGCCATGACCTGACCGTCTCCCCGACAGACCCGCAGCCGACGGTGACCTGTCTGATGTCCCTTCCATGACCTGGCTGTCTCCCCGACAGACCCGCAGCCGACGGTGACCTGCCTGATGTCCCTTCCATGACCTGGCTGTCTCCCCGACAGACCCGCAGCCGACGGTGACCTGCCTGATGTCCCTGCCATGACCTGACCGTCTTCCCGACAGACCCGCAGCCGACGGTGACCTGCCTGATGTCCCTGCCATGACCTGACCGTCTCCCCGACAGACTCGCAGCCGACGGTGACCTGCCTGATGTCCCTGCCATGACCTGACCGTCTCCCCGACAGACCCGCAGCCGACGGTGACCTGCCTGATGTCCCTTCCATGACCTGGCTGTCTCCCCGACAGACCCACAGCCGACGGTGACCTGCCTGATGTCCCTGCCATGACCTGACCGTCTCCCCGACAGACCCGCAGCCGACGGTGACCTGTCTGATGTCCCTGCCATGACCTGACCGTCTTCCCGACAGACCCGCAGCCGACGGTGACCTGTCTGATGTCCCTGCCATGACCTGACCGTCTTCCCGACAGACCCGCAGCCGACGGTGACCTGTCTGATGTCCCTGCCATGACCTGACCGTCTTCCCGACAGACCCGCAGCCGACGGTGACCTGTCTGATGTCCCTGCCATGACCTGACCGTCTCCCCGACAGACCCACAGCCGACGGTGACCTGCCTGATGTCCCTGCCATGACCTGACCGTCTCCCCAACAGACCCACAGCCGACGGTGACCTGCCTGATGTCCCTGCCATGACCTGACCGTCTCCCCAACAGACCCGCAGCCGACGGTGACCTGCCTGATGTCCCTGCCATGACCTGACCGTCTCCCCGACAGACCCACAGCCGACGGTGACCTGTCTGATGTCCCTGCCATGACCTGACCGTCTCCCCGACAGACCCGCAGCCGACGGTGACCTGCCTGATGTCCCTGTCATGACCTGATCGTCTCCCCGACAGACCCGCAGCCGACGGTGACCTGTCTGATGTCCCTGCCATGACCTGACCGTCTCCCCGACAGACCCGCAGCCGACGGTGACCTGTCTGATGTCCCTGCCATGACCTGACCGTCTCCCCGACAGACCCACAGCCGACGGTGACCTGCCTGATGTCCCTGCCATGACCTGACCGTCCCCCCGACAGACCCGCAGCCGACGGTGACCTGCCTGATGTCCCTGCCATGACCTGACCGTCTCCCCGACAGACCCGCAGCCGACGGTGACCTGTCTGATGTCCCTGCCATGACCTGACCGTCTCCCCGACAGACCCACAGCCGACGGTGACCTGCCTGATGTCCCTGCCATGACCTGACCGTCTCCCCGACAGACCCGCAGCCGACGGTGACCTGCCTGATGTCCCTGCCATGACCTGACCGTCTCCCCGACAGACCCGCAGCCGACGGTGACCTGTCTGATGTCCCTGCCATGACCTGACCGTCTCCCCGACAGACCCACAGCCCACGGTGACCTGCCTGATGTCCCTGCCGTGACCTGACTGTCTCCCCGACAGACCCACAGCCCACGGTGACCTGCCTGATGTCCCTGCCATGACCTGACTGTCTCCCCGGCAGACCCGCAGCCGACGGTGACCTGTCTGATGTCCCTGCCGTGACCTGACCGTCTCCCCGACAGACCCGCAGCCGACGGTGACCTGCCTGATGTCCCTGCCGTGACCTGACCGTCTCCCCGACAGACCCGCAGCCGACGGTGACCTGCCTGATGCGTGGCCCGTCGCTGCGCACCGCCTGGATGCTGCAGCTGCGCCACCTGCCGCGCCACAAGTCCGGCGCCCGTCTCGCCTCGTCAGCCAACCCGGGCCGGCCGCTGCCCATGTCGGAGGCGGCCGCGCGCCACCCGCACACGCCCGCCTTCTTCCCTGAGACGGTGGACCGCATCCCGGTGTGCAAGGCGTGAGTTCTGTGTTGTTCGGAGGCCGCGGTCAGAACCCGGACCTGCGCCAGGTGGGGTGTGCAATGCGTGAGTTCCGTGTTGCTCGGAGGCCGCGGTCGGAGGCCGGACCTGCGCCAGGTGGGGTGTGCAAGGCGTGAGTTCTGTGTTGCTCGGAGGCCGCGGTCGGAGCCCGGACCTGCGCCAGGCGGGGTGTGCAAGGCGTGAGTTCCGTGTTGCTCGGAGGCCGCGGTCGGAGGCCGGACCTGCGCCAGGCGGGGTGTGCAAGGCGTGAGTTCTGTGCTGCTCGGAGGCCGCGGTCGGAGCCCGGACCTGCGCTAGGCGGGGCGTGCAAGGCGTGAGTTTTTTGTTCCTCGGAGGCCGCGGTCGGAGCCCGGACCTGCGGCAGGCGGGATGTGCAAGGCGTGAGTTCTGTGTTGCTCGGAGGCCGCGGTCGGAGCCCGGACCTGCGCCAGGCGGACCGCGCCCGCTGCTCGGCCGGTGCGCTTGTCTGTGGGCGATTGGTTTGCAACTGATATCCGCAGCATTTCGGGCTAGTTTCATACGTGGAACGAGCTACGTGCGCTTCTATGGGAACCTGGAACGTGGGAATGAGCCGACTATGCGGAGTAAAATCATACGCCGAGATCAGCCACGCGTAATGGCAGATGACTACCCCTCTGTTCGCCTCAATGTGATGCCAGTTTTGCTGCCAGTGGGCGGCGGGATCACGCCCCATCGCTGAGCGCTGATTGGCCGGTGTTTTGGCAGGGACCGGTCCATCCCGAGCCTGGAGTCGCTGATACAGGATCAGAAGTCAGCGTCGGAGCACAACCGCATGTTGCACCTGATGGAGCAGCAGGTGAGGCTGCCAGGCCGCTCCGCCCGGCCTGGGACTGAACCGCGTCAGCGGCGGCTTCTCCGGAGCCGGGGCCTCGCTGGAATCAGGGCGGCTCCTCCGAGGCCGTGCGGTGGCTGAGGAGTGCCCCGGAGTCGGGGCCTCGCTGGAATCAGAGCCGGTCAAACAGCAGGTCCGGCAATGATCTAATGGCACGGTTCGAGACGGATTGCCTCGTTTACTGTGGTCTAGTCACCTAGTGATCCTTTGGGGCCCGTGCCCACTCTCATGCAACATGTGGGTAAAGTCCGTATCGCCGCCAGCCCCCCGTCTGCTCCTGCCGTGTGTCCGCTGACCAGGTACCCCTCCTCCAGACGAGCCGGGAGGGTCTGGCGCGTCGCTCGGCGGCCGTGCGCACGGCCAGCGGTCTGAACCTGGACACGGAGTGTGTGCCGCCGCCACCCAGCCAGGAGTTCCAGACGGCCCGGCTCTTCCTCAGCCACTTCCAGTTTCTGGACGACTGTGCCGTGGGCGCCGCCCGCCAGCAGCTGCAGGTCAGCCGACCCGGGCCGGGCGACCATGGTTCCGGGCCGATGTGGCGGCGTTAGCGTCCTGTTCATCTCATATACTAGTTGCGTGAGGTATCTCTGTCTGTCTGTCTGTCTGTGTGTCGTCTTTTTCGTTGGCTCGTGTGCAGGTCGAACAGTAGGGTGACGAGTGAAACTGCGCACGAGGCGCGTGCGCACGAGGCCGCACTCCACGTCTAACTCGCGGACTGTTGCGGTTATGGGCGCATTATGGAAGGTACATGGTTAAGGCATGGGCGTACAACAGAAGATTGCCTCGAGTGATGTTTCCAGATCATTTATTTGTGCCGTCTGGTGATAAACTGTTGATGATATTTGTGATATTTGAGAAAAAAATATTTGTCCGCCGTCGTTTTCTTATTCACGGTGTGCTGCTTCTCCATATGGGGCCAGCTGCCTTCTCTGCTATGTGAATGTTTTCAAGAGCAGCTCCACCCGCCCTATCGGCTGTCGCCAATGTATACGTCCACCGGACTCCACGTTTGTGTCATACTTGTATGTGAAGGCACACTCGCAAATGTATGTCTTGTATTTGTATCGTTTTTGTCTATATTATCTTATATATATATATATATATATATATATATATATATATATATATATATTGTATATGTCTTTATGTATCGTATTTGCTACTTGAATTTGATCGTAAATAACACTTACGTGTTCGTAAAATTATTTTCTCAATGTGTGTGTCCACTGGCGGCTGTGTGCGTCTGTCTGACTCGACCTGTCTGTGTTGTGTGCGTCTATCTGACTCAGCCGTCTGTGTTGTGTGCGTCTGTCTGACTCGGCCCGTCTGTGTTAGTACGTCTGTCTGACTCGGTCCGTCTGTGTTGTGTGCGTCTGTCTGACTCACCCCGTCTGCGTTAGTGCGTCTGCCTGACTCAGCCGTCTGTGTTGTGTGTGTCCGTCTGACTCAGCCCGTCTGTGTTGTGCGCTCCCGTCTGACCGGAGCCGTCTCTGTTTGGCAGCCGTCTTGGCGGGCGGGCCGCCAGCTGGTGGCGCTAGACGCTCTGGCCGAGGGGTTCGCCGCCGACCTGGACGCCCTGGATGCCACCACGTTCCGCACATGCGACACCGTGCACGTGTACTACGTGCGCGACGGACAGACAGATGCCGCCAGCGTGCTTACCAACGGGGTACGCTCCTGCCTCGCTGCCGTGTGGAGGCGGTTGGTGAGGGCGTTCTTGATGCTGACGTGAATAATTGGGTTTGTCGTTGGTTTGTTAGTTACTGATCTGACCTCAGGGTGAGCATGGGTAATATTTTACATGGCTCTATTCTTGTGTATGTGTCATTACTCATGACCATCTTGCTTGTTTGATACATCAACATCAGTTACAGAGTTACTCCCTGCTGTATCTATTAGAAGGTTGGATTAGTATGTCGTAGTCAAACCACTAAGAAAAGATTGCACAATGAAGCCACAATATAAAAGATATCGTGGCAAAAACCTGTACTAAGTCCTCTAACGCTACGCCAAGACCCTGTGGACCACGAGCGGCTCATCCACTCGGCGTGCGTCGGCGGCGTTGTAACGGCGCCGCTCCGTCCGCGCAGGCGTCGCTGGGCGCGCTGGACGGTCCGTTCACCGAGTTCCTGCTGTCTCTGGGCTGGCCGGTGGACGTGACGGTGCACCCGGGCTGGACGGGCCGGCCCCAGACCTCGTTCAACACGGCCCAGCACCGGCCAGGTACGTCAGCTGTGCGGTGCGGCGCCGTGCAGGGCGGCAGGGCTCGATGGCGCCTGGTCCGGACGAAAGGCTGGGCCGCTAGCTGCGGCAGGGCTCGACGGTGAGACGTGGGCAGTGGTGCGTCCGCCTGGTCCGGACATATTAAATACGGCCAACCCCCAAATTTGAAATGCGTGGGGCTCGATTCAAGCCACCCGCCCGCGTGATCCATGAGAAACAATGTTGAAGAATGAAATGAGGCGAGGTCGCTTGCGCGCCCTGTACATGCCCCCTTATGGCTGTGTTTTATATGCGCCACGTAATGTGCTGACACGGCCGTCCCATGTTGACCTGACCTCTCAAAGCCCGTCACCAGCATACCGTGTAACTAGTCAAACAGTCGAGCTCGAACTCTAGGGCGCAATCCCACATGGTGTGCCAACCTGGCGGTCCGGTATCAAGCGCCCCGATTCGATGACTGGACGGCGCTGGCGGCTGACCATCGGTGCGATGAAGCGCACATCGGTAAATTACCTTTTGGCCTTCCGTCCTGCTTTTGCCGTGTTTCGTGGCGCTTGCGGCAACCTCCGTCCGAAGTCGGCACAGGTATCCCTCATGGCCAGTTGTCGTGCGTCACGTACTGCCTCTGCGCCTTTGCCATGATGTGTCATCACTGTCGCGTCGCTATCTTGGAGCATCCACCTCGTATGCGTCGTCGCCAGCCCCGAGCGCACGCGACGGCCGTCCACCGGTGCCGTCTGACGGGCGCCGCGCGTGTCCGCAGCGTCGCCGCCAGCGGTGCCGCCGGCCGCCGGCCCGCTGGCGTTTGACGGCGCGCGATGGGCGCTCTACTGGGCTGACGCGCTCAGCGAGGTAGCGTTCGTGGTGCCGAGCCCGGCGCTGCCGGCCGACCGGGCCGGCGCGGCGGCGGAGGCGCGCCGACGCGGCGGGCCCGACCCGCCCGTGCTCGTCGTCTGGCTGGAGAGCTACGACGACCATCTGTCGTTCCCGGCCGGTCAGTCTGGGGGAGATGGGAGGAGCGGGTGCTGATGTGAGCACGGGAGGGTGTCGACGCGTGAAAGAAAATATGAGATGCTTGTAATGTGATGCCGTTTCATTGCTGGACCAGCGGCGTGATGGATTTTTTGTTATTTTGTTGTTTTTTTTGTTTGTTTTTTTGGAAGAGCAAATCACTTGCCATGCTGCATTCGTCTTGATGCGACACTAACTTTTGCACATTTGGGACGGTCTTGATTCGTTGCGTGTTTAGCAAAATCAGGCTTCAAATTACTAATTCGATAGGAAACAGCGCGGTCAATGTGGTCCACAAGCCAGTCGGCTGTCTCCGCCTGGCGCCGCGCCTTACGCGCCACTCCAGTGCCGGCGGACAGGTGTCCGGCGGGGCGGCCAGCGCCGGACACCGGCCACTTCACCAGCCGACTGACCCCGGCCTGTGTCCTGGCGCCGGCAGCGGAGCTGGAGCCCCCGCCGCCGCCGCTGGCCGCCGGCCAGGAGAGGGCGGCCGCCGACACCGCCGCCTACATCATCTTCATCCACGCCCTCCAGAACCGACTCTACCGCATCCACCTGCAGGGGCCGGCCGGAAAGTAGGTCCTTGGTGTCAGAGATGTGTGAGGGGTGGCCCAGCGTCGGCTGTCGGATGGGACGAAACCACACAGTTTAGTGTGGGTTTTGAGCCACGTCGCCTGATTGATGTCGTTTTGCTGCGTACGGGGTTGCGCCTGCTGGTCGTCATATGGCTGTATAAGGAGACTGTCATATCGTTCATGCATGTTCTCTCCAGGATGACATTTGCGTCGCCCCTGGTGGAAGGCATGGTCGTCAGCAGGCGATCTCTGGGCCATCTGGTGAGGCAAACCGTCATCAACGTCTGCATCCGCCGCCGCCTGGAGAACGAGAAGTACGTGGCGCCACCCGCCTGGGAATCTCTCGGAACTGCACGGCATTGGATTCCGGTTGTAGATGCAGAAATACTGACTCATTACTATGTGGTCATTTTTTCGACCAACACCCGCAGGCTCTACGGAGCCTTGGTTGTGAATTAATTATCCTGCCAACGTTAATTGTTCGGAGGCTTTGGGCATGCTGCACGTTGCTGTCAATCTGGGAATTGTCGTTTGCACATTTCTTACGCAGGGAATAACTCAAAGCATCACTCAAAGGAGTGAGCGTCACTCAAATGAGTGAGCGTTACTCAAAGGAGTGGCGTCACTCAAAGGAGTGACCTGCAAAGAAGTCTCGAAATTCTACATATGCGCGCGAGCGATAATCGTTGATCTATATGGCAAGCGATCGTCGGTCTGATCGGTACCGACGTATGAGCGTCTCCAGAGTGTGCTGCTGGGCCCGACCTGCGGGGGTCACCGCAGCCGCTGACTGCCGCCTGTGGCCGCCCCGCAGCAGCCACCCGCCGCACGTGCGCCGCAAGCAGAAGATCCAGGAGATGCTGCTCAAGTACCAGCGGAACATGTCGCCGCCCGAGTTCTACACGCAGCTGTTCTCGGTCGACTGTTCTCAGTGCTGACGTCACGTGTCCTGATGACGTCACGGCAATGCCTTGAGTTGGAACCGCGTAAGCGCAGGATCACACCCACGTTAGAGCAAGCTGTATAGATTACGTGACTTGTTGAGAAAAGCTTTCCACGCCTTCACCACTTACATGTTGAATTCGCGAGCGGCAGCTTGTAAAGCTTGCTTGCTATGGGGTCTGGATCGCCCCCGATTGGACCGGGCGTCTGTGTTGCTGCTTTGAATGCCGGCGGCGTCCACGCCCCGATCCGGCCAATGGGTGTGCGGATGGCTAGCGTCAGATCGCTGACATTCGGTAGGGTAGGCCTGCTGACTTTCGGTAGGGCAGACCTCTCGTGCTGACATTCGGTAGGGTAGGCCTCTCGTTCAAATAGCGCTGTTATTTGTTTTGTATCGGTTGCTGGTGAACCACCGTCCTTTATGCGGTTATGTATACAGTTATCGGCGATTCCAATGCCAAGAAGGCTTAGAAACCAAGAAAGCCAAGGAGGCTTTGGTGCGTGCCGTGAAGTCTCTGAACACCTGAGGTGTGTGGGTGGCGCGGACCGCTGTGTTGTTGCTAGTTACCAAAGCGCTGGCGCTCTTCAACGCCTCGATATATTGTGGCACGTTTGGAAATGGAAAACTGTGGGCGAAAGCATTTCGCGCATACGACAGAGGGACGCTTGTCCTGTTTTGATGTTTCTAAGAATATATTTGCTTTTAAGCATTATCTTTGCTGCTTTCCTTTTTCTTTTTTTAACGGAATGGCACGTGTCGATTCCTCCAGCCGTTCGGATTTGCATTTGTTAGCACGTCAGCTCGTGGGGGAATGGGATGAACAGCCGCGGCAGTGTAACGCTCACTATAAAACTCAGTAAAGAGTGAAAGTCTCAGCCAGGTTTTTGTCGTGAACAAATGACATCTGCATTGTGCTTTGATGGTCGCTCGAAGGCCGACAGCAAACACCAACTACCGACTGCTCGTCTCCGCTGAGCTAACGCGGATGAGATGGTGTGGAATTTGCAGAATGCGTGAGGCTTGCAGGGCAGTATATGTGCGAATGACAGCTTAGGTCAAGGATAATCTAAAAAGGAATACGTGAGACTTGAGGGACGAGATATTTGGGCATTATGATATGTGGTATATATGATACTTGCGGAACAGGATATATGCCGCGACATAAGCCTTCCAAACAGGCTATGGCAAGGCATGTTTCAAGGCAAGGCAAGGCATTCCCATGCCAGAAGAAGTTCGTCTCGGAAATTTTTCCTCCACGATACGAACCCTGACAAATCCTTCGCTGACACCATCGTTAGATGTGGCCCCCCATCCATCCATCGCCGGTGGTCAGCCACATGCCCGTCCATAACGAGCGGAGGCAAGGCTTATTCCCAGCCGGGAGGGACATCTCGTGCGACGCGCAGTCCCCGGAGCAGACCGCTGCGGGTGATGTGTGGATACGCACCGCGCCGCACTGGCCCGACGCCAATGGGGCGGATGGTCGTTACCGTGGCCCCGAGCAACAAACAGCCGACGGTCAACAATGCATATATTAAACACTGCACGCGTGTTGGTGTCACGACACAGCACAACCACCTCGCTCAAACCTGAATCCCGTTAGAACACGCAGTGGGGATTCTTTCTCAATCTTGAGCCGCAACGCAAGTGGGAGTCTAAACCCATCCCGAACAAGCAAATATGCATGTTCTGGTGTTAAGTCAACATCTCAACAACACTCGGAATGGGCGGCCGTGGGGGCCTATAGCCGCGTACCATGACAGCTCAATTTCTCACCTTCAAACAAGAGCACAGTGCTTTCGTCCCTCTCACTCACGGCATTTGACCAGCCAAGGCCGATCCTGGCCTAAAGCCGAGGCTCGCGCGCCGCCAGATGGTGCGAGACGCCGCACATTCACGTGGTTCAACCATCACGGCCCAGCTGTTGAGTTGGCGTCTCCCCTGTCAGGGTGCCAGCCGGGTCGGCGGTTTGTCGCACTGGTCCCGTCGGTGATCTAGCTCGTCCAAGTGGTCCAGCTGGGCGTCCTGGTCGGCCTGGCCCGGCTGTGGCGCCGTCTGGTCCACCTGGGGGTCCGTTTGGCCCGGCTGCGGCACCGTCTGGTCCAGCTCATAGGGGTCCGTTTGATCCACCTGTGGGTCCGTCTGGCCCGGTTGTGGGACAGTCTGGTCTAGCACGTAGGGGTCCGTCTGGTCCAGCCGAGGGTCCGGCTGGTCTGAGCGCGGCCAATGGCCGTCCAGCGCGGCCGCCAGCAGCCGGTCCAGCCGGTCCAGCAGGCGGCGGCTGTCCTCGGTCGGCGGCGGCTGCAGACTCACCACTAGCCGCAGCGACGCCACGCCGCCAAACACGCCCGGTGACGTCATCACTCGGGTCAGCTCGCCTGAGGGCGGGAGGCGAGGCGGTCTGAGCAGGGGCGCTGGAAGGTCGTCCGCCCCCAGCGAAACGCTGCCCTCCAGACGGCAACAGATAATGAAATACACCGCTGAAAGACACATTCTGCTGCGAGTGTTTTCTTTGTTTTTGTACCGCTTTTCTTCACATCTCGTCCCTTGTTTTCCCCGCCGCAAGACACAGCGCACACACACCCTCACTTGACTTCTGCACATATTACGGAAGTGCCTTGACCATCGCCCTGATGGCGGGTGGGGTTGATGCGACCCCCCAAGGTTTTTCGAGGATACCTCCCCGGCATGCAGTGCAAGTGCACCCAAAATTTTCAATAGCCTGTGGTGATGCCGCGGGACGCGCGCGTCTGGCCAACATCGTTTCATTAAAAAGCCACATATCATAAATCCAAGTTGAAAACAAATCAAAAATAGTAGCAATGTGCTCAGAAATGAATACTGAATGCGTCTGTTTAACCGCTTTGTCGCTACGAGGCATGGTTTTTTTCATGGTCTGGCGATTTTCGGGAAAACGTAACCTTTGACCTGACATCTTGGCGTCAATTATTGACTTAACAACATAAAAACCAGTACTAATCACGGGATTTCGTTGGGATCAATCCACTCATGTGTTCTGCTAAGCTTTTTATTTATAACTTTGGAAACGCCAGGGGTTCGCATCGACCCCCCCCCCCCCCTCAGAACGCGTTATGAAAAACGGCGATCAGGGCGAAGGTCTAACGCCAAGAACAATACACCGAATAAGTGTCAAGAGCAAAATCAAGCTAAAGACGCAGTGAATGAATATCCAACATTTATAGCATTACAAAGCCGCTACCAGGCAGCCGACTGCGACTCACCGACATCGGCACAGCGCTCCAGCAGCTGGGCCGCCTCGTCGGCCTGGCTCCAGAGCCGGCGCAGCTCGGGCAGATCGGGCGCAGCTCGCAGCAGCGGCGCGCACGCCTCGGCCAGCCGGAGCGGCTCGACGCACAGACTGTCGGGCCCCGGCTGGAACAGGTAGCCGGGGCTGGCGGCGGCGCGCACCAGCTCCACCGCCGACGGCGAGGGCGAGACGAGCCGCAGCGCCAGCGCGCCGGCGCCGGGACAGTCAGCCGCAGAGGTGCAGCAGACGCGCCGCACGCTCGGACGGCCGGCAGCCCAGCAGACGGCCGGCCCAGTCGGCGACGCGGCGGCGCACCTCCTCCTCGTCGTCGTGCAGCAGGCAGACGGCGGCGCCGACCAGCTGCGGTCGCAGCGCGGCCGGTGCGCGCGGCCAGAGGACGGACAGGGCGCCAGCCGCGTCCAGCCGCGCGCCCTCCCAGCGGCGCGGCGTGCTGTCCGTGAGCACGCGCCGACACGCGGCCAGGAGGAGTTCTGGGTCGTCTCCCTCCGCGGCGAGCACCGCCAGCGCCGGCAGCAGGTCGGCGCCGGAGACGAGCGCCTGCAGCGCGGCCGGGCTGTCGCGCACGTGGCGCAGCAGCGAGATGGTGCCGGCGCGGTGGCGCAGCACCAGCTCCAGGCAGTGGCGTAGACGGCGACCGCCGCCGCTCGCCGCCAGCAGCTCGGCGGCGCGGCGCACGGCCAGCGCCGCGCACTCGTCGCTCGGCGGCCGCTCCGCGCGGTACGCGCTATCGATCAGACGGTCCGTCAGCTCCGCCGAACCGCCGGCCGTCGCGCGCCGCACCGCCTCCGCCGCTGCCACCGGGTCGGCGACCAGCAGCGCCAGGCTTCGGTCGAACAAGAGGTCGTGGCCCGGCTCCCAGCCGTCGCCGTCGCTAGCCAGCACCGTGCGGCGGGCGAGCTGCCGCGCGGGCGCCAGCGCCTCGGCCGCCGTCGGCAGCTCGGCGGCCAGCTCCAGCGCCTGGTGCTGCACCGCCGGGCAGGGCGAGTGCAGCGCGCGTCGGCACAGGTCCGCGGCGGTGGCGGCGTGCTCGGAACGCGCCGCCACGCGCCGCGCCAGCAGCAGCCGACCGTGCAGCCGATTCTGGCCGTCGCCGCCGCCCGCGTGCAGCTCCTCCTCCAGCTGGTCGGCGGTCAGCAGCGCGGCGAGCGCGCGCGCCGTCAGCTGCCGCACGGCGCACGCCGGCGAGACGAGCAGCGGCCGCAGCGCGGCGCGATACCGCGCCAGCAGCGGCGCCAGGCCGGCGTCGGCGCCGGCCGCTGTCACGTGCGACAGCAGCACCAGCGCCGGCACCAGGACCGGCTGCTCTCCACCCAGCAGCGCCAGCAGCGGCTCGGCCAGCGCCGGCCAGCGGCCGAACAGCTCGGCGAAGGTGACGCAGTTGTGGTCGGAGCCCTCGTCGCGGCTCTTGCGCTGTCCGATCAGGCGCGGCACGACGGCGCCGTACAGCACGAACGAGGCGTTCCTGCCACCGGAGAGCCGGTCAGCATCTGCGCCGAGCGGCGACACCGAGTTCGAATTCCGATAAGGAACCCTCATCAGTGATGCGTTGTTCCAGATTGTTTAAACATTCGGGGCAAGATGTACGGTCTATTAGCGCAGCTAATATACTGCTATAAAAAGGCAGGTCAATATTCTGTCAAACAACAATAAGAACGTAAACGAAAAGTGAGATGACAGGATGAAATATTAGTCATCTTATAAGATCAGAAACACGGTGGAGCCACAAACCAAACAATCCCGCGCGTTTTGAAAAGGCAAAAATATAAATGCCGGGGAATCACAGCTGACTTATTAAGCACACAACCTGCGCCGGCTTTTGTATCAATGCTCGCATTCATGCCTGGATTACCCAGCTTGGATTCTACAGCAGTAGTTTGTGGACCGAGTGGTTGTTAATGCGTTCAAAACAGCTTGTACAGGTTGACAGCCTCCGATTGTGCCCCGAACATGAACAAGCGATACCAAGTGCGAATGAAGCATAAGAATCCCAAGACCCTGAGGGTCAGTTCGAGCAAATGGATCCAATAACCTGAAATGCGACAGCCGACCCACTGATGGCAGGAAGCATTCACGCCGGCTGTTCCTTGCGGTTTATGAGGTATTTTCTGACGGAACCACTGACAAGTCGATGAGGCCGGCGGACTCGGACCACACCGCTCAGTCTTAATCGGCCCGCAGCGCCGCTCCGCGTCCGAGATGGAGCCGCGCCGGCCGCGGGCACCGGAGTCGCTGCGGGTCTCCGAGACGGACCCGCATCCGAGCCGGGCTCGGTTGCGGCGCGAGCTGCTGCGACGCGGCGCGCCCACGCCGGCCGCCGACGCCCCACTCGAGGAGCTCCTACGCTACCACGAGCACTACGTGACGGCGGTGTGTCCCCCGACGCCCGGGCCCGGCCCTCCGCCGCGGCTGGACGCGGCGCG